CGAAAAATTACTTTCCTACATTCAAAAAAGCTTTCTTGGTGATTCTAAAGAACGTGGTAGGCCGAGGCCATGACGGACAATTATTCAGATTTTCCACAGAAAAAAATTATTTGGTACCCATCGGTCCTGGTCCCTGCTGACGAACTGTTCTGCATCACCAGATGTATAAGCTGCTGCGAAAAATTCCTTCTGCTCTGGGATTGTATCGTAATTTGATAGATATGGACCGATCTAGAAAATGAGCAAAGATACACCCTGTTTGCAAACATGCACTAATTACTGGATGCACTCAGCGAAGAAATTCAAACAACTCACATCTTTTGCCTAATCTTCAGCAATCTGAACTATCGGGAAGAAATAAAAGATTAGTCTAAATATCATGTGCAGTAGAGACATATTGGGAAGCAGTGCAACGGGGACACGTTAGGAAACAGCCTCTGTTTGATCCCTTAGCTGTAAACACAGACTGACCACAGTGTATAGATATAAATGGGAATCAACAGTACAGCCTCTATTGGGATTAACATGTACCCAATCGTTTCAGACCAGTACGGGATTCTACAGAAACTAAAAGACGCACTTTAATGAGTGATAATATAAAGGAACTGTGATTAACTTAAGGGGAACCAACTTAATATCACTGGCGATGCGTACCAAGTGTTTTTGCTGTATTTCGTGTTGCAGTAGGATTACTGGAATTCCAGTAGTTAAAATTTATGATAATAGTGCAGCTACGTGGTACTTGAAAAAGGTGCAGCTACGTTAAAAATGATAATAACAGTGCAGCTTGAATTTGTGATAATAATGCAGCTCCGTTAAAATTTCAGCTTTCCAGCTTTCTTGGTTCCTAGTTGCCCGCCAAAAATTTTCATCAGGCCTTACGTAAGAACCAACACTGGGGCCTGAATCTGAAGTCTTTAAGTTGTACAAAGGCTGAGAACATCCCCTCAAAATTTCAGCCTCCTATTTTTTCTGGTCCCGAGTTGGCGATTTTCTCGCCAAAACTTTCGCGTGTTCGTCTGCGGGGCCAGACGTGCTCGTCTACGGGGCACTTGGACGGGGAACTCACTGGCAAAAGTTTATCGCCAGAGTTTGCTTTGTGATACCAGGATAGATGAATAAAAACACACACGCAAACATACACTCACGCACGCCGTAGGTCGTCACAATATGTGTTTTTGCTATGCGGCGCTATAGCGCTGCTACAGCTAGCAAAAACGCATATTGTCGAGAGGCTGTGTGTGTGTGTGTGTTCGGAAGACTAGTGCATTTCGTCACCCACTTTCATCTCAGCAACCAGGAAAACTGGGAGGCTGAAACTTTGAATATATGTTCGTACCCCGTGTGCCATCCTCCCGCTTTAAGATCTTCCCCATATGTGCCTCGACCCCACGTATGGGACTTCCAAAGAAACATGTTGACGGGAAATGATTTCGCGAACCAGGCAATGCAGAAAGCTGAAAGCTTGCAGGGATATTCTCTATGCACGCGCGAGCTAAAGATTTTAAACTCAGTTGTCGAGCATCCCAACCACAGCCTCAAGTAGCTTCTCAACCCAAAAATCGTTAGCAGCTCAGACCTGAACCACAATTGCATATGCAAATGAACGTGGATTTTTCGAAAAACAACCGCTCGAGCAATACTTCCACTTTTTAGT